ACCAAGGAGTGGCTTAGAGGTGATGAACAATGACCTTCCCAGCACCAACCCTGAAGAGGCTATGTCCTGCTTTAATTTGTCAAGGAGGGATGATCTCCATTTTTGACATGACAACATTTAAGATAAACCCAACGCAAATAGTATTCTTGAAATTTTCTTTTCCCAACCAAAACTTCCCAAATCTTGTTTGTCAATATGCTTAGCTTCTATTTGCAAATTTTTCATGATCTAACTCGTAAAAATCTATTGTGTAAAAACGCAGACTATGAAGAAAGTCAAGTTTTCGAAAAATTAGCCGCCTAGGCCGGCTAGACAGTTTCTTTTTTTAATATTTATTTTAATAAATCGTATAGCCGCGCGGCTACACTCTTATATTTAAAAAGTATAGCCGCGATATACTTTTCCCCTAAAATAATATATTTAAACAGTATAGCCGCCGGGCTATACTATTTATTAAAGACAATTTATATATATTAAAAAACCAGTACAGCCGGCCGGCTATACGTTTTATAAAAAAAATTAGAAAAAATCTAGTATAGCCGAACGGCTATACTATTTACTTGAAAAAAACAGAGCAGCCATTTCTCACCCACGCTTTAGGAACAGATGTGCCTAGCTGCCAATCAGTGTCGTTGGCCAATCACGACTAGTGTAAATTTCTATCAACACCCATTTCTCACCCACACTTTAGGTTCACTCTCTGGTTGTGGAACATGGCCGGAAACTTGAGAATTAAAACTTAAAATCTATGCTCAATACCCTAACATATCAACTCTGTCAAGAATGGAGTGCACTTAAAATCTAAGCTCCATACCCTAAACTCTGTCAAGGATGGAGTGCAACTTTTATTTCACTTTGCCACCACTCACCAAGAGCCACTTTTTTGTATGTATATTGACAGGATTATTACACAATTCTGATGGGTCGAGATTGAGTCCAGATGATCTTGATCACATTTCAACCTTGTCACTTGGGCCAAAACTCACCAATCTCTCTTTAACAAAGAAGAAAAGGGTCAGGATGATTGATCGGGATCACTAGTTATAAGTTTGGGCTCGGGTGGGATTGAATCTCTAAGAAAAATTAAAGATAACCAATACATGATCTGATCTGCAACTAAATATAAGAAATCGGAGGGTATCCATTATTAATGGCAATCTACAAGCAGGAGGAACCCTATGAGGGTTCATGAAATGCGTATTTACTTGAATTAAACATTACAGTCAATTTGATGAAAATTAAATTGCTTAATGTCTCAAAGGAGAATACATCTTCAAGCATCTACCTTTGCCGCTGCAGATGCATAACTTACGCTGCTGTCCCTCATAGTTCTGCACTGACTCGACTGCTCATATCGGAGAAAATTGATCTTTATGCTCGTTGAACAGTTCTTCAGCATCTGAATGCATTGAAATATGATTGAAAGGGATGAAATAATGATCAAAACCAATATTCTAGATGCAGTTAATTGAAGAACTGGAGTTGAAGTTATGAGCAATGAAAAACAAAACCATTTTGCAGTCTAGGTAAACTAAGTTTAATTCTTCAAAAAATTTCTTCTCCCTCCCATTTTTCCTCTCAACCTGATTTGATGTCTCCAATATGTCAATATGAAATAGAAATAACAAGGATATCTTTAGGTTCCTTTCATCATATTTGCTGCTACTTATGATAGCTGCATCCCTCGCATGTTTGTTAGCAAATGCCTAAAATTTGTCTCCACAATCCAGACACAGTAGTATAAAGGTGACTGAAACATGAATGTAACTGGTGTTTTTCATTGATAGGCATAGCCTTTCCAGCTGAAAAGAGCAATATAATCCTCAAACAGGTAAAAATCGCCTCCCTAATTTTTCAGGCTTTTACACTGTTTCATCCTAGGGTGTCATATTCTCACATCAGTTATAATATGTATTTTCTTTGCCAAACTTAAGGAACAATATTTGAACTTCAAGGAACAATATTGGAACTTCTTCCCTTTCAGGCACTGAAGCCAATACTTAAGGTACTTACATGCAGAAAAACGCTGATTGGGTGGCGCCCACAAATGGTGTTATCAAACTCCAACAGATACTCTTTGAATGCATCTGGATTTCCAGTTTCTATTATATCCATTCCCATCCTGTCCAAAGCCTCAATAGATTTGTGTATGGCTCCATGTTTCTTGTCATGGTGCGTGTAATTAAATCTGAGAGAGAATAACAAGATCAGGCATGGTTAACAAGTATCAGTTCAATTTCAGTCATATGTTGAGAAACCATGGCCAGGGAAGAGAATTAGCAAAACATGCAAATATCATGTAACATAGCAATGAATATAACCATGAAATAGCATCCATGAAGCAAAATTTAAGTCGAAGCCAAGCAATGCAATAAAAGTCGTGTGTGTGTGTGTGTGTGTGTGTGTGAGAGAGAGAGAGAGAGAGAGAGAGAGAGAGAGAGATAAGCCCAGAATGCATATGTAGATAGACACTGGCATTTTGGACAACACTCCTGTTAGCTAACAAGGACTAAAATCTAGCAAACCATGAATGGAACATACCGAGACCCCCAATGACAAAAATCTGACGACACCGAGAAGAAATTTTGTGGATCATCCACATATTTGCCAAGCAACTGTCCATACATGGCTTCACTTTCAGCCTTAAGAGCACCAACGAGAATGGGTACAACTTTAACTTGGTGCCTGCATCAGTGTCGTCAAAAGTCAGCCATGCCATAAATAACTATAGAAGAGAACTGTGCTATGAACAAAATTAATAAAGTTATATTGAAAAAATACCCCTCAAAAACTTTAGCAAGATATGGTAAGTGCATTTCCATGCTATGTTCAGCCTCATCAACGCGAATATCCATCAGTTCAAATTTGCCAGTAGCTTTTAGCTCCTCAATTACTGATAAGTGAAAACAAACAGAATGTTAGAAAACCACAAATTAACAGGGATGAGTTAACTCCTATAAAAAGAAGCATTTGGTAATTCATTGCGAAGATATTTTATGCATTGATTGAAAAGGGAAAATGAGCACAAACAATTTTGTGCTGCTTGAAACTGGCTGGTTTAAAAGAAATTAACAATGCCCCGTAAATTTTGTTCTAAGTCATGCATGTGCAAATGTGGATTAGAAATTAATTAGTAATTGAAAGAAAAAAGTAAATCAACAGTGCGGAAGATCAAGACAAAAAAATAACAATTCCAAGTTACCCAAATTTAGACAATGAGATTCACACTACCTTCCAAATCGATAGTTAGGTCCCCTATGGGGGTCTTGTAAACTGTGGCTGTTGAAAGAGCACACTTTGGAGTGTAATAGTGGTGAGATGGACCAAGAAGGAACACCCGGGTACTGAACAAGCAAGTTTTTCTCACACATTAGCAACAATTTGACAGCTAATTGCCATACCAATCAATCTTTACAGGTTTAATTATGAGTCAAAGCACAATTACTAGAACATAATCAGCTCACATTATGATCCTACATTATCAAAATAGCATTAGAGAACTAAGGAGAAAACAACAAGCAACTCACATGTTTGTTGGGTCTATGTTGCCAAATGCATAGGCAGCAGCACGACCTGAATATGAATAACCTGCATGCCTGTAATTCCAAGGCCAAACACAGAAAAATAAAAATAAAAACAAATTATTTTCAAAAATAAAATTTCATCTTTTTTTTTTCCTTTTTTTTTTAATGAATTATAAGCCAAAATGAAGAAGAATAAGAAGCAAAGCAGGTCTATGTTAACTTACGGAGCAATGACACCTCGGACATCAGGAGATTTAGTGAGCCCAGATTCTCTCAGCCATCCTTCAAGCTCTTCCGACAACTTCCTAGCTGAAAAATGAAAAAATAAAGAATAAAAATGTATTTTTTTTACACAAATAATCTGATAAATGAATTTTCTCAAAAGCAACCAAATTTGATGACTTTTTTTAGTTTTATTGCCGCCTCGAACAATTAATTCAGCTGTATTTATATTCAGAGAGGCCAAAAGCATCAATCAGAGGGGTCTCATTTTCTTGGGATTTCTCGGTAACCAAACAGATACTGAGGATGGAATTAGAGTGTGTGTGTGAGAGAGAGAGAGAGAGAGAGAGATACTGACGGTTGTCGGTGTACCAGGAACCAGCATGCGATGCTCTTCTGGCTTTCTCCATAGATGGAATTTAGGAGGATGAAGATGAGAAGGAACTGAAACCCTAATTAATAATATGTGCAAATAATTGAAGTAACAGAGAGTGAGAAAGACAGAGAATAGAGATGCTTGTGTTGTGTGCTAGTCCCCTTTCTTTAGGAGAGCTTTGGAGTTGGAGAGACTTGGAGAGAGAGTGGGGGTGGGTGCGTGACGTGTTGAAACAAAATTAGAATTTTTTTTTTTTTTTCAATTTGATTCCGCTGAGCCAAACGTTTGTTGTTTGCACCCTTCTCATCTCACTCCTAATTTTCTCTTCTTCCTTTTTGTTTTTGGGTTATAAAGAGATTCCATTACGGTTTATCTTTCTCATCACCACGTAACATATCATGTGATTAAAAAAAAAGTACATATAATTTTAAGTATTAAAGATGAAAAAGTTTTTTATAATCACACGACGAAAGAGATACAAATCTGTAAATGCACATAACAGCTCTCAGTTAAATCGAATTAATTGGTGGTCGATCCGAGTCAGTTTTTTTAAACTCAACCTTCCGACCAATCAATGCGGAGATACAGGTGTGCATACACTTCAGTGTGGGTAAGTTTTTGTCATCAGTGTGGACCAGATTTTTGTTTCGGCCTAGCCTGATCGATCCAAAAAAAGACCAAAAAAATCAAACTCTTGTCATGAGTGTGGAATAAAGTGTTTTATCGCTCAAGTTATAAGCCCCAATACGGATTGGATTCAAACGAAATCCCCAGCATTATGTAGCCTGAAGCTGATACGATGGTATTCCTCTTAATGCATGTCCAGGGAAGAGCAGAAAATTTAAATTCAATCAAACAGTTGGGGATGAACAGAGAGGTAAAGGAATAATAGCATTCTCTGCTATTGTATAACAATCACAAATGTTACAACAATACAACTTACAAATGACACTGTATGATAAATGACAACAAACTTGGCCCAATAGGCCACAGCAAGTAGCAAAATAATGTTACTGCTGCTTATTCTTTGAATGAACAAATCCAATCATATACCCTATGCCCCCAAAACTCTGAAAATACTAAAGAATCTTACAACAAAACGAAACAAATGAGCTCACTGGCTTTTTGCAACCCAGTCACAAACACTCAAATTCAAAACACTACGGAAAACTTTCCGTTTGCTCCCAAAGCAAACAAGAAGCTGAACCTGAACACAAAAGTCCATTGACAGAAGAAAAGACCTGCAATCACCAAAAAGTAAAAACCAGAGAGGTTATGTTTCATTCAGTATGATATATGATTTTGCACCGACCATGAAGATTCAAAGAAGTATAAATCAATGTAAAACATAACCAGATAATGGTTGGTAAATTAACTACATAGAAGCTAGAGGCATGGATTCTGAGTAATGAGTCTGCTTGAAAGTTAAAACTATGTCTGTCTTCGGTTAAACGATGAGCTTTCAACATATTGTATGGTCTCAAAAATCCATGTAAATTCTATTACAATTCATCCATCTTCTAAAGAATAGCAAGGGCATGCCAATGTTAAATAGTTTTAAAAGACAGCATGATTATAAAATTCTCAAATTTCTAAAGGCAAGTTACCTGTGCAACCACACAGCCTGTGAAAGTTGAACTAAGGCAACCTGAGGAATTTGTTTTCGTGGAAAGCCTCTAAAGGATACCCAACTATCAACAACAAAATTCAAGCATGCTCCAATATAGAATGAAGTTTTGGAACCCGGCGACGCAGCAACGGCTCCAGCCGAAAAGAGGGAACACCAAACTGCCACCTCTTAGCATCATACATTTCATTCCACGCCTGTATTATCTCATCGATTTTGAAGCCTAAACCTGCATTTAAATGAAAATTGATCATATGTTTCAAATTCTAACAGTTGTAAAAAAATTTGAATTAACTTGTGTCTTTTACCTTCTAACGCAGTTTCATTGGAACAGTGGTTCTTCATCATCACAGCTATATCCGTTGGAGAGGCTCCACAAAGCTCAAACTTCTCAACAGAAACTTCTAAACATTCCTCCCAACTTGGTAGCCCTAGCTTATATTCCACAACAGAACGTTCATACAGCACGGTTCCCCATAAAAGGTATATCTGTGACTTCATATTTGCAGCCTGCTCTGCAGCTTCATCAGCAGATACCTCTTTAAATAGGCCATCCAAACCCAATTTCTGCAATTGCGCTTTATATTTATCTTCTTTGGCGAGTCCATTTAGACGCCGCTCTTCTATCTCCTCCCACATCAACATGCCCTTCTCCATGCTGTCCTCAGCCTTGTTATAAAGCTGAAGCACCTCCGAAGAAGGCTCCGTTTCTAGCTCAATCTTGCTTCCAACCGCATAGTACCAACAAAGCTTTGCTTGGTCGAACTGTTGTTGCCCGAGAGCAAGATAACCTTCATAAAAGTCAGGTTTTATTTTCACAGCTTCTTCATACCTACCCTCTGCCTTCTTATACTCTTTCTGTGCCCAGTCATAGCCCGCCTTGATCTGTTCAATAATGGAATCCCTTGAAGCATCTTCTGGAAAGGACACTCGCTTCCTTGCCTTAGACATGTGGACATTTCCCCAATTAAACAATGCCAAAGCCGCCATCTCTTGGAACTTATTTGCAGCAATGTCAAAAAGCTCTTGAGCATCCTCAATTGTTACAGTGTCCTCCATTGCCTCTGAGTATAGCTTCACTCCAAGCTCATGAAGATCCAAGTACGCATCAGAATCGAACCCAACATGGTTCTTGAATAACCTTGCAAACTGGATAATCCAGTCCTCAACAGAAGTAAACCTTTTCTCTACTTCTCTATCATTTTCACCATCCCCATTCTCTACAACATTGCTTGGTTCTCTGTCTTCCTTACTCAGCTCCTCATCACTCAATCCCTCATAAATTGGTTCTTGATCAGGACTAACTTCTGCTATAAATAACCTGAGTGACCCCTGCATATCACATGATGATTCAGCCATCCTCAACTCATCTGTAGTAGTGATTGTAACCAAATCACCCTCTTGGTCTCTATACTTAACAAGAACACCCTTCAAACCAGGAAACCGATCCCTAACTATCCCCCTGACCAACCTCATGCTGCAATTCAATGGCAGTTGTGCCCACCTTATATCCTCTCCAAACACCAACTTGACTGTCTTTGTAACTACTTTTTCTTCCTTAACATGCTTCATAACCACTTTCTCTTCCTCAACATGCTTTGTAACCACTTTCTCCTGCTCAATGGTCTTTGTAACCACTTCTTTATCCTTATCAGCACTCACATTCTCTTCCACAACGACCTTATCCTTCCTCTTCTCCTCAACTTTCTTACCCTTCTTCTTCTTCTTTAACTTCTCTTTCACCACTTTACGAATGCGGGCAGCAGGAGGCTGCGGTACATTAGCAATACCAATTTCTTTCTCATCAAGAACAATACCCTTTTCATTCATCACCTTCTTCACGCTCTCCAAAATCTCCAATGCACTTAGATTATTTGGTTCCATACTCAAAACAGTATTAACATCTCTCAATGCCAAATCCAACCTATTCAAAGCCTCATAACACTGAGATCTTCTTAAGAGTGCTTTACTGTATCTAGGTGATACCTCTAACGCCAAATTACATTCGTTGATTGCTCGAGGATATTCACCAAGACCCATTTGCATATAACATGCAGCCATGCTGGTATGCAGATGAGCAACTTCAATATGATTCTGTGGGAGGAGTTTGAGGGCTTTTTCAAACTTTAACATTGCGCCTTCATGATCACGCTTTTGATAAAGTTTGTTACCTTCATCTTTGAGTTCTTGGGACATGTTGATGAAGATTGCAGTGTCTTCATCAAAAGCTTTGGAGTTTCGATCCGAGGGCTTGCTCAGCTTACTGCCAGCATTCCCAGGCTTTTGTACCTCCTCATCTTTCCTCTTCCCAGTTGGCTTCCCCATTGATATTACAAAAATACGCAGCCAAGGAAGAAGACCCCCAAAAACAGAGCTTTTAAAGCTCTGGTTTTTATCTTATCCAAAAACCTCTTTCAGCAACTCATAAAATAAGGAACATTCAAATAGTTCCTTGATAATTAAGCAAAACCTTAATAAACTTGCAGCTGATAAAACCCAATTCAAAAGTATTTAAAACTGTGAAAAAAAAAAAAATAACTCCAACAATTTAACACACACAAAATAACAATAATAACAATAATAAACCAACCCAGAAATGGAAGCTTAAATAATTTTCATACACAAAGTTTCAATCAAAACACACTTCAGAAAAAAGCAATAACTAAAGAATAATGAAAAAACCCAGACCCCAAATCCTAATGCCAGAAATTAACTACAGAAAAAAACAACGGAAAGACAACAAAAAAATCCAGTCTTTTTAACCTGGCTGCTGTTCTCAAAGCTCCAAATCAGCAATTGGTGTATAGTGATCCAGAGACAAAACAAGAACCCAATCAAAGTTAATTGAATTAGAATGATTTTGCTCTGGAATTGTTGAGAAGAGACAGTGGATATCAATGGTGTCTCTGGCTGCAGAACAAATGCAAGGAAACGACACTTCATTTCATCCTGGAAGGGGAATTTCTCTCTCCTAGGGTTTCCTGAAGTAAAGGTCAACGTTCCAAAGTGGGGTGGTCGTCCCCCACCTTCCATGAGCGCGCGTCCCTCTAACGCCCCTCTCTTCACTCTTCAGCCTAATTCGTCGGATTTTATGCCCATATTTCTTTTTCCCCACCATATTTATTTTTTGGTGAAAAAAATGGTGGCAAGTGTGCAACCACTCCGAGCCGGGGAGGGGTTAAGGTTAAAGCTCTCCCCTGGGGTTCTTTTACACATGCGGAGCATCGAATGCAGGACCTCACTGAGGAGCCTGCTCGCATTCGGCCAAACATGGTGGACCCAGCCCCAACCACTGGACCAAACCCCATGGGTGCCATATTTATTAATATTATTAAATAATTTTCTAAAATTTTGCACAAAACTCCAAGAAAAATAGAGTTCAAGCCAGTAGCGTGTACACCACGTGCCTGAAGGAGCTGGGGCGTTGGAGTAGCGCCCAATCCAGGGGCAAACATTCAATTACCCAGCTGTAATTAATTTTATCGTCATTAAGCTTAATATAAGATATAAAATCCCAGTGGGCTCCACTTCCCTTCGAGACGACAGAGCATATTCCACTAAAAGAAGCACTATTAATTCCTCACGTGGATAAATATTTCTCTTTTTATTTTAGTAAATTCCCGTAATTAATTCCGAGTCGTTTTCCTCATCCAAATCCAAAATGGAGGCTTAAGGAATAGTATTAGGTTTTCTCTTTTATTTTCCAAAGGAATAGTATTAGGTTAGTCGACTAAAAACGGCAAAGGTGATTTTCTCTTTCAGTTGTAATTTAACGAAAATGATTACACAGCTTGTCATACAAATTATAATATTTCCAAGACTTGTCTATACGAAAACTTAATCCATTGAAATTAGAGGGTTGGTTTAAAGTTTGGTGAACATTGATCAATAATTTGACAATTAAATATGTTAGAGGTCTCACAAGAAAACATCATCATCCCATAATTTAATATATACAATATTAATTTTATTATATGGTAAGCATCGAGACTACACATACATCAGCAAACAGAAACCATCATCTATGGACGGCTAGTTAATATTCGTAGGTTGACACGAAACGACCTGTTAACGTAATGTAATAAATTACTAACTGATTCACTCGAAGCGATACACTTCAACTCGGACATTGGTACACCGATATTGCCAGTTTCAAATTGTGTTCATAAATTTGGTTTTGTAGAACTTAAAAATAATCGTGGGATGTAATGATTGAGATGAGCTAGCGAGGGGTCTGGTTAGTGGTGGCTCGTACATTAGTTGTGGTTACGGTCGAGAGATAATGCTGGGTAATAATGGTGGCAAAGCTGGCAATGGTGACCTACATGTGTTGGCAGCTCACATGGGACTGGAAATTTGGAAAGAGTAAAGCAAATGCAGATGCTGGTGATAGATCAACACTGAAAATACATTAGAGATTATTGGTTTAAACGAAACGAAACGAAACAAAAGGAATCTACGAATGAAAGCAAAATTGACAACTTTTCAGTTTCTTTTGTTGACCAGCAAGCTACATTACATAACAAAGGAAGGGTTGCTCGAAAAACATGCGAAACACACACAAAATGGAACTTTTTACATTAGAGATAGGAGCAAGAGGACGAGCACATTACAACAGCTGAAATATCACTGTTAGATAGAGCTATAACTTATCTAGCTACTTACAGGTTATATTTTACGAATTTACAAGAGGATTCACCCCCTTGAGCTATCAAACCAGTATCAACCTAACGTTATACATAGGGTCCATGCAGCCAAATCTAATTAGTCGAGAACCATGATTCCTGTATCCACGTGTTGAGCAATGTCCCTTCCCCGTTGGTGTAAAACTCTAAAAAACTCGGCTAAGCTTAAATTTCCATCTCGGTTCGAATCAAACACATGGAAGATGATTTCGACCACATTGTCAGTCAGAGATACGCCACAAACCTGATATTCAATCAACACAATCACGATAAATAATTTAGATAGGGAAATCTGTTGCCTATGGAAGATAATCAGAACCATATTTCAAATTAGAAAAAGAAGACTTATCAGTGACAACTTAAGGCAACAGTTCCAAAAGGCTCTGTAAACTTCCAAAAAGTTCTGGTAACCTTGTCAAAATGTAAACCATTAGCCATGGACCAATTAAAGAAAGTGACAAACAAGAATATCTTACATGAGAAGCAGCTCGCTGGAAATCCTCTCGTGTTAACATGCCATTTGCTTTTCCATAGCTGAAAAGGGCCAAAGACAATGGCTGCAATTTTTTCCGAAGCTCGGCAAAATTTTTGAATTCCTCAAATGTGATGCGCACGTCTTTAAGATGTGGTTTATTGTTCAATTCATCAACCCGATTGAGCAAATTGCTTAAATGAGTCATGTCAGCAGAAGCAACCATGGACAAGGCAAAGTCCTTTGCCAATATGGTTCCTCGTAATTTATAGTCATAGTGAGCAAACTCCAACCTTACCATCTACAAATAAGCTCAGGTAGTCAAATACAGTGTGCATTTTGAATAAGAACAAATTTCTGGGGTAAAATGCATTCCGAGCATACCATAAATTAAAGGATGCATTACGGCTTACCTCAATTGAAAATATATTAACCTATCTGCTATTGAACTCCACAATAAAAGTTAAAGAGTACTTTTTTCTTTTGGGTGGGGTAGCCTAAACCTAAATGAGTAGAAGGTGAGGTAAGTTCTGATATAAACTAGAGGTCAGGCAAAAGCAAAGCAATAACACTAGAGTGGAAGGATAGCACGCACATAATGCACAAAATTAAACATTCTAAAATTCAAGGGAATCAAAGGATTGGGAGCTTACTTCATCTTGTAAATCTCTCAAAAATTTGACAAATTTATCAAGTTGGAGACAATCCTTCCCATCTTTACCAAAAAAGTACTCGACAAGCCCACCATTTTCTACAGAACCATTGAATTTTAGCCCAGTTCGAATTCCATGCCTGTGGTTAGCACCTTGTCTATTGCAGGCTCGCATCAAAGCCATCACTTTCTTGAACTCTTCCTTATCGATTTTTCTATGTATGGATATAAACAGTCAAAGTCAAGACCATAGCGCAAGTAAGGAAGAACAAGAAGGAAAAAGAGAATAGCCTCAAAGTTGTTTAATACCAACCCACTATCGTCAGTGTCAAACATTTTAAAGGCGACATAAAAACTTGATTCTGGGATGCTTAGTAGTGTCACAAAGAAAATATATCTGTTACAAAGAACATTGTTAGAGGAGAAAAATATCCATCATTGATTCATTGTTTACACCAAAGGCCATAAAAGCAGCAACTCACTCTTTAAAAGAAATATGCCCGTCATTGTTTACATCAAAAAGCATGAAAAATTCAGAAGGAGAACAGCGCAAATCTCCAGGATTTCTTTCCCCTCTCAAATATCCATCTCTAACAAGGTGGGACTCAGATGGAGGGAAAACCGGAACTACTGCCCTCATAAGATCTTCCGGCCTCATAAGTAACTCTCCCTCTTGCGTACTAGAGGATGCAAAATACTCAAAAACCTTCATGTAAAACAGCATACGTCATTGGACAAGAGGTAATTGTTCATTAACCAAAGCCCCAATGGTTAAGTTTTGCTCAACAAAGATTTAAACTTCAGTTTCAAGCAAATGCAAAGAGTTTAGGATTTGTAGTCAATAACCCCAGGCCATGAGATCTACCTCATCAGCATTGTCAACTTAACTTATATATACTAACACGAATCGAATTGTCATAGTTTTTCAAATTTGAAATAAACTTTTTGAACTGTATCCTAGTTCTTGTAATTCTTTTCAACAAGAGCACTTACTTTCTATGGCTTGCTTAACATACTGGTAAATTTGCCAATGACAAAAGATGCTAAATTAGGCGCTAATAAACAATTAAGCAACAGAAAATCAATAATTATATAAGCTCGTGTAATTATATTAAAATGGAGTACCTTCTCAGGCGGACTTCGCAACCTAATGCGTTTCTCATAGTTGAAGAAGATCTTTCTTCTATAAGCATCTGCAATAATCCAACACCAAAATCAAACGAAATCCACAAGAAATTGAAAATGATCGAAGTAACTAGAAATGACTTGCCTCCGAAGAGAAACCTAGGGGTAATCTCGGGCAAAGACAGTTTCTGAGACAAGGAACGCGAAGGCGGATCCTCCAAAGTTTCTCCCGGGACCACCGTTGACCAATCGGCGAAAGTCAAGACCGAATTGGGAGAAGACCAGTAGAGAAGCCCTAGCCCCGAGCCCACAGCGAAGCCCGAGATCCATTTGATGAAGGAGCCATAAGAGGGGTTTTGGTGAGGGTTAGAGTCGAGGCTCGAGGCAGTGATCAGAGACGAGAGTGACGATGATGATGGCTGTGGTGCAGTGGACAAGTGGCGGACTGAGAGCCGCTGGTGGATGGACGGTGTGGATCTTGTTAGGGATTGTAAGCGGGACATGGGAAAAATTGCGCTAAATGTTGCAGAGAAGTGTGGACGGAGACGACGACGTTGTGAAAGTTAGTTGGAGAAGGTACGGTGATATATGGGGATTTGGGCCATCTGATTTTAGATTAAAACCAGCGGCGCGCGCGCACGTAGTAAAAAGGTCTGTCGGTGATTTGGCTATGGGCCCGAAAAGGCCCACGTTTGATTGAACCGAGCCCAAATTTTTTAATTTGATTTGGGCTTTCGGCCCAACCCATATTTTAATGCCCTAGTCCAATAAGTCTGACATGTTGTGCCCTAAATGGTAATTTAGACCCAAAATGGAACACTTGGAGATTTTCTCTCTCCCCTTTTTGAACCAGCGTGAGCCACAACACACGTTTGAATTTGTTGTCCCTACTTCTAAATGATGGCATTTCTTTTGGGAGAGTACTTCTGAAATGATTAAAAGCGTTTTAAACAACCACATGTTGCATTGACACTTCACTAAACCCAAGTGTTGGAGTGTTGGACACTCGGATACCCGTGTACAACGATTAACATCGTGTCCACAGTCAAGACACTCCTCATACACGATCAATACACTCTCCGGACACGAATCAACTAATATGTTAATTTACTTATAATTCATATAAAATTAATAAACTACATTTGAAAGGCTTGGAAAGTTTGAATTTCACAATAATATTGCGAAATTGGAGTATGAACATCAATATTTTGTTTTCTTTTAACATATATAAGTTTTATTTTATTTTTAATTGTCGAGTCCACATGTCCTAGTTTTTTGAAATTTGTCGTTTTCCTTGTTGTTGTATCCATGTCTGTGCAACATAGATCACAAATGCTTCTGATTGCATTTGATATTAAAATTTAAAAAGAGCTTATGAAAAATAAAACCACTTTTTAGAGAAGCACCTAAAATATGCTTATTCATAAAATGCTTATAAGCATTAAGTGTTTTCTTTACAAACTCAAAGAAAACGAACATAAATAAATAACTTAGAAGGTTTAATGTACTAATTTGTTGAATGCATAAAGGTCGCAACTTAAGATCAACCATACATATAATTTATAAGATTTTATCGATTTAACCCTTTTAATTATGAAATGAGAACAGGGGATCGGCCTCCTAAGATCACAAAAATGGATGGTATATATGTAAAGTTAAAGATTTTATGAATGTTTATTGATGTTTTGGTAGGTAAAACATCCCAATATGCACAAAAATGCATTGGTGGTTTTCTATGATCTCATATGGTCCCAATTCTTAGACTAACGCTTGTGTGACGAGGGGGTAGGGCCACAACGCTAAATATTTAAAGTCATTTTCACAACTGTGTAGGCAAAATTGCTTTGACAGTTGTCAGATTCTAGCAAATTAGATTTGATTTTAAGAGTAAGGGTGAGTTATGGGTTGTCGTATTGCTGAACCTTCGGGGGACCATGCGAGCATGCCGAGCCTATCATGTCTCCATATAGTCGGCTTTGTGACAAACACAGAGCCATTATCTTCTCACAACCCAAAAACGGCTAGGGCTCATGAATACAAATAAAAATGAGTGCAAATTTAGGGGTCGTTTGATATCCTATTCAAATAGGGAACTCAAAAATTTTGATTTTTCTTAAAAATAAGGAGTTTTTAAATCTATTTTTAAGATTCAAAAACTTGTTTGGTATCCAACTTGAAAACTGTTTTCAAATCTAAAAAATGTGAGAACTTGTGGGTTGTTAAAAAAAAACTAAAAAAACATATATTTTTTGTTTTTAATAATTGGGATGTTTTTTAGTTGTTCTTGAGTTTGAGTTTTTAAAAATAGGGCTACCAAATAGGTTTTCTTTGTTTTGGACTCAAATTCTGCTTTTGAGTTTAAAAAGTTGAATTCAAGTTGAATACCAAACAGGCCCTTATCACCCCTGAAAAAAAAATTGCAACAGTCATGCATATGAATAATTTAAATCAGTTATCCCTTAACTCTCGTACATGTTATGTTGCACACATATTGTGTGTACATTTTTATAGATTCATAGAGTAATTCAGTCAAAATGCATTCAAAGTGCGTGTCTTGTTCATTCATGTCAATTCGATTTCCACATTTTTCTTACTGTTCAATTAACAAAAATGTAGTATTTTAGGAAAATATGTTTGCTTCTTGTTGTTAAAAGCCACACCATATTAGTAAAATTTGATACTCTTCTCCTCAATTAACATAAATTATTAAAATTCATACTCAATAGTTTCAAAGTCATTAGCGTAAGGGTAGAGTTAAGAGTTTCATAAGAATTTACTATAATTTTATTTTATTTTTCATTTAAATGTACGAACTTGATAAAAATCATTGCTAAGTTCATATTTTCTAAGTATTTGCACCGCATTGGAGCACCCCTTAACCTAAAGGTGTTTTTGTCCTTAATTTAACGCATAAAAAAGAGTTTCTATAATTGTATAGATGATTTCTTAGGGGTGAACACGGGTCGGGTCGGGTCGGGTTTAGGCCCAAACCGGTCACCGAATCGGGTCATGTCGGCAGGCCCATTGGTCAAACCGCACACCTCATTTTGAGGCCCAATTTCGAATGAATTCGAAACCCGAATAAGTCGGGTTGGGTCGGGTCGGTGGAGGTTTCTGCCGAGGCCCAAAAAGACCAACAACTGAAGGTGGTTTTTAAAATAAAAAAATTCCGTGCCAATTTTTTTTGCTGCCGAGGCCCAAAAAGACCAACAACTGAAGGTGGTTTTTAAAAAAAAAAAATTCCGTGCCAATTTTTTTTGGGTAAGATTTTCAGGCCCATTCAAGTTTAGGACTCCTGTATATTTTCCAGATTCTGTACTTCTGCATAGTTTTAGCACATATCATTCTAATACAAATAAAAACCTGAAAATCATCATCCATCACATGTCCAAATCCACAGAAATAAAAATATATATTACAGACCAAGCAAATTGTGAGAGTAATCTGAATCACAATTTGCATACTTGCAAAGTTAAAAACCAAAGAAACATTTTTCGACTTTTTCCAAAGCTTGGTAGAAATCTAACTCATCCATTGCGGGTTCTTTGTAGTAGCTAAACTCATCCATTGCGGGTTCTTTGTAGTGCAACACTTCTGAACAACTCCTCAGAAACTAAATCAGGCAAGAACTAAGAGGAGACAGAAATTCATGACAACCATGGTGAATCAAAAAGTAAATACGTAAAATTTACTCTTAAATGGATTATTGCAAACCTTATCACCCAGTATAAGAACAAAAAAAAATAGAAAAATGGGGAATAAAAATGGGAAGAGACCTGAGACGAGATCTACCCCAAGGCTGCTCTTAAGCCCTTCTGTATCTGTTCAAAATCTCAGCCTCTGAGTACTCCACTCCAACGAAACCTATATTATGCTCTATCATCGAAACCAGTACACATACATGAGCCTGGCAATTTTCAAAGTCAAATAAGCATAAAACATCAAATAAAAGACAAATATGCAGAAACCTAAAAATCAAGAAAGACCCATGATTTTATGAAGAGCATACTCAGAATGTCAAACAACCAGGTTTTGCAAATATGGGAGAGAGCGAGAGAGCGGCTTTTCTACTCAGAAATAAACACAGCAAGCCAATCCTTTTTCCTTAGCCTTCAAATCAATTCTGTCCAGACAAAATATATATACAAGTCAGACAAAATAAATAGAATTAACAGAAATCAACCAAAATCCCTAAATTTTGAATTAGGGTTTCAACATTTTAATACCTCAAACCAACAAAAATCGAGCGAGGGAGACGAGAGTGAGAGCGGGTGAGAGACAGAGTGAGTGACTGAGAGAGATCAGGTGAGAAATCTGGAAAAACAAAAGAGGCAGAGGCGAGAGAGAGTGGGTGACACAGAGAGAGCCACGAAGAAGAAGAGAGGCGAGCGTGGAAGAAGAAGTCGACGATTTGGTTTGGGGAGAGAAGGTTGAGTGAGAGGTAGATCTGGTGTTAGGGTTTGGCGACTCGAAGAAGAAGAGAGACTCGAAGAAAAGAAGAGAGGCAGAGCAGAGAGCGAAGTGAAATTTTTTTATGAGCGGCTGAAATGTTAGGGTTTCGCGAGCAATCAGGTGTGGCAAGGCTTACGCTTGGGATAAAATGGACGAATCAGCCGCTGCCACATGTATTATTTTTAAAAAAATAATATAATTTAAAAAGTTCGGTCCGGTCCGGTTTTCGCCGATTTAGAGAAAATTAAACCGGTTCAGACCGGTTCCTGGCCAGTTCGGTCGATTTTTTTACCGATTCTTGCATTTTAAACTATAAAAACCGAACCAAACCACTTAAAGCGGTCCGGTTCGGGCGGTTCGGTCGGGTTTTCGGTAATAATGCCCACCCCTATGATTTCTGGACATTGATGTATGTGAACCACAATAAATCAACAATCGAAATCTCCCACACATGTGTGTGACCAACTAACCGTAACAAACTACCAAAAAAATACACGTAGGAATTACATGTAAATCCTGCGAGTTTGCCTTTTGTTGTGTAGCCAGATTGAAAGGGTCTTAATTGGTAAGCTATCTTGTTTGGTCCAATTCGAGTTGAGTTAAATTTATCCAGTAAACTAAAGATGAGGCGTCGTCAACCTCAAACTCAAACATCTCGAGTGACCCCACATGCGTTTCATACAAGAAAAGAAACATACTCCTCTCTTATCCAACGACGTCGTGTATCGTGGATGCCACTTTCACAAGTAATTCAATGGAAAAAAGTGGACGTGTCAACAACCACCTCACAAAAGTTTTGAAGATGCTTTCTCAATCAAAGGTCGGCCCGTATTTGGTCCACATTGAATTTTGAAGGTCCATCCAACTCATTCGTCTTGTTTTCTCCTTTTTTCCTCTTTTGTTTTCTTTTTGGTCCTTGTATTTTCACTTTTTTCCAATCATGGCACCGATCACATTTGGCGCCGGATTAACATAATAAATGTCGGCCAGGTCATGCTCTTTGGCCTTTACTTCCTTTTCTGCTCCTCCATCATGTCAGCACTTAATGGAAGAGAGCTGTACTTTCTCTAAAAAACTTTCATTCAAATTTCTCCCAAATTGATACTTTCCTTTCTAGTATTGGGTATTTTTACTGCTTTACTTGAACAATTTGAGCCACACACTCTTCATAGTCACTTTTCTTCATAGAGTAAATATTTTTGTTATTTAACTGAGATTTTTTCTTTTATTTTATGCTTTAAATGATATTTTTTCTCTTTTTGCAAATAACCATATAATATTTCTTTTAAAGTCAGGAGTGTTGTAGAAGGTTCATTTGTCCATTTCCTCCACCCACGGCTTCCACAATTGAGTTCCAGGTCATATTTTTCAAATTTCAAATCCTTCAAAAGTGCATGAAAGTTAGTCAATAACTTCACACCTGCATCAAAACCGCCAAAAACAAAAACAAAGAGTTCAAAATTTTCAAACCCAAGCAACAAAAATTACCAAGTCTACAATATAACAAATAATAAACACAACACAAATGGTATTAACAAACAATAATAATTAATGGAGAATGAAAGAATATACCTTGCAAAAAGAGTAACGCAACCTTGTAAAGCAATACGGCAAACTGAACGGAACACACGTAACGGAACACGCTAACGATGATGATGACGGCCAACGGAACCCATAACACGGAACTGAACGGAACGGACGGTGACTGAAACGGCAAACATAACGGATAACCCCAAATGCTGCAAACACAAATGGATTGAGCGGCTGTGTAAAAACCGAACTGAACCAAGTCTTTGCAACTTCTGAATGCAAATTATTACTCTGTTAATTTTCCTTAATCCAGTTTTAGTTGGGAGATTTGTTTAGGGAAAAGATTAAATGTCCGAAAACTGTCCTTCCAATTTTCCATAGCAAATCATATCATTCAACTGTACAATATGAGAGTTTCTCTTTCATAGTGTTTCGGCGGGACGCTCCGTATCCCAGAGCGCAAAACTCGCCGGCTCGACTCGGGACCTCCGCTTCGTGACTCGCCCGAGTTGAGTTGAGTTGACCTCAGCTAAAACCGTCGGATCTGCTCGGATCGATAGCGGCAGGGCTGTGTGGCTCCGAGTTGACTCACCGGGTTCAAAGATCGGAAAAAATGAAGAAATGACCGGAAATTAACCAACCTGACCTGTGTCTTTCTGTTACTCTGTAAAACAAAATCAGAGAGATCGTTGCCGATGGTAACTCAGTCACTTGTTGTCGGCGGTGGACATGGCCGAGAAGCCGGCTCTTCGCCTCTGCTGGTGGGCGCAGGGACGGATCAGAGCGGTCAGGGCTCGCTTCACCCACTCACCTTCGACTCCACCGATTCGAACCAGCGAGTTCGTCATAGCAGATCTGCGCATGTTGAGCCTGTTCGTCGGATACGGGGCCGCGTTGTGACCTCCGCCGATGTTCTTGTGAAGACTGCAGCGAAACGACCCCGGATGCGACGTCGGCGAGCACATACAGGTCTTCTTAGGCATCGAGATCGGGCCGTTTTTCTTCGAAACGGTGATGGATCGATTCGAGTGGTTCGGAGAGATCGAACGGTGGTCGATGGAGAAGCGGACGGATGGAGATGGGGCGGAGGAGGTGTACAGGTTGACACGTGTCGGGGAAGCAGATCGGTGGTGATGGTGGTGGTTGATCTGCTGATTGTAGTAGTGGTGGTCCTTGTGGTGGCTGAAGAAGGCGGAGGCCGGAGATGAGAAGCTAGAGCTTGTGGACGAAGCAAAGCCCGAAGCGGAAGATGAGATGGAGGCATTTGAGGCTGTGTAAAACCTTCCAGAAGGTGAGAGCGAGCGGAGAACTGGTCCGCTTGACCTGGTTCTCGTTCTCGATGATGAAGATGATGCGGTAGCCATTGGAGAGTGTTTAGAGAGAGAAAGCAAGAGATCTAGGAAGAGAGAGGAGAGAGGAGAGAGAGAGAGAGAGAGAGATTGTTTTTTTCCCCTAAGGGCCCCTTAGGGCGTTTGGTTTGGCAAACCTAACGAGTCTCAAGGGCCGCTTTTATAGATTAGTTGCGTGCCGGTGGATGGTAATTCGGTTGAAGATTAGGGGTGGTTTGGGGTTTTCGGTTTACTACGTTCGGTGGTTTTTCCAGGCGTTGGGAATCTTATCCAACGGCTGGAGTGATAGGGACTGCGGGAAGAGGACGAAAGTTGGAGCCGCTTGTCCAACAGCTTTTACTGGGGCCAGTGCAGAGCCTGCCACGTATAAATTCTTTGGGAAACGCTAGAACTGAAAGTACGAGAAACCCAATTATGTTCTCTTAATTACGGCTTGCCATTGGCTTGTTCTTCGTGTAATGCCTCAACTGACCCGGACTTTTGGGTTTTATGCGCCTAGGTCCTTAGGATTATTATTTTTCTATTTATGAGAATCTGTATATTTTACTTTATTTTAATAAGAAGACTGGTAGTTTTCTCAAGGAAGTTTCTTTTTCTTTTTCAAACTTTGGAATGGAATATAAAAAATAAAATAAAATAAAAAGTGACTAGAATGTGCTAATTATGGAGTTGGTTTTTTTAGGTTGAATTTCAATTTCATTTTGTTAGGTGAGTGGCTCTGTTTTCCCAAAATAGTTGTGCCACTTTCAACCCCTTTTTTTGGTAACATTTTTACTCATCACATTAACCAAAAGTGTATGCTCTCCCCTTTACTCCCCTTCCTTTTCTTTTTCTCTTTCTTTTATTTCTTTCCTCCCCACCCCCGCCTCTTCTCTCTCTTCTTTCTCCTCTCCCCGCACTCTGTCTCTCCTTCTCTCTCCCTCACGTTAAATTTTGATGACGGGGTCCTGCATGAAGTTGATCTTATTGAGGATGGTTTTTATAATTTCAAATTAAGCTTTACTTATCCATGGTTTGAGCAGGGCAGGGATAATTTGTCCTCTTGTTCATGATTTATATGCATTGACTTCAGGAGAGTGGTTTTCATTAGGATAAATTTGCACTCAATTTATTATGTTTTTTCCAATGCTTAAGCTGTGAAGGTTTGGTTATACTTGCACATTTGAATCAATGTATTTCAACTTCAATTCTGGTCTTTATTCGTATTTCCATGGACTAAGTGTATGCAAGCGTTTAAATATTGCAATGAGAGATTTTGTTTTTTGGGACGAAGAGGGAGAGACAGAATCAGGGAAGAGTGAGAGAGGGAGAGACAGAGTCAGGGAGAGATTGCGGGGGAGGGAATCGAGGTGTGTACTGGGCTGCCGCCCCTTTTTCAATTGTTTTTATTACACCTTTAATTAATTAATATTGTGAGTAAAAATACTCTCATTTTATTAACGTGGTGGTGAGTAAAAATGCTCATATTCGTTTGTTTCTTATTTTCTTTGCCATATTTCTTTTGGCTCTTATCTTTGTTTAGAGAAATTGCAATCTTCAGATTCACTCAAAGAATCAAGACACAAATTTTATAAGAAAAATAAATAATCATACATGTATGGTTGGATCAAGAAATGGCTTCAGTTAAACAAACAACAATGTTGATATCATAGGACTACAAAAATGTGGTACATATGTTAACGGGTATAATCCAATGGAAAATTGTCCTAACTTACAAATCAGTAGTCTCATGTTCGAACCCTCATGATACAGTAGTGTGTGTGAGAAACCTCTTCCATTTTGTAGTTTAAACTATTACTTGTATTTATTTATAAATAAATTTAAATAAAATATAAAAAAATAAAAAGAGGTACCCATTTGAGTTAAATTTTAATAAACTAAGCTCAAATGGTGAGGTGAGGTGAAGATAGGTGTATGACATTTGTACAACCAAATTGGCTAGATCGAACCGATTAGCTGAATCAATACTGTTGAGTTGGTTAAGTTGTTTGTTTACAAATTTGAAATTGGCAGTTTTCCATGCATTAGTATTTTATTGGATTCCTAGATCTTAGATCTTAAATTTTGAAACCCTAATCTTGGTTTCCTATATTGCTCTATATTGTAGTCAATTCTCCTATCTATCCTTGTCATATCTCCTCACTTTTATCAACTGTCACAGTTACACAGTTATAATCAACCTTTCACGTCACGGGATTTAATTTGATCTCTCCAGATGTCGTCAAGTCTCATCGAATTTCAACAAATTTCACAACACTGAACCATAACGAACCATTATTTTGGAGATGAAAAAATAGTGATTATAACAAGTTTAGTCTTCGGTAACCCCAAAATAGGGCCAAACTTGTTGAGTGTGACTAAACCCCATGATCCAAGTCATAATTAAGTTGCTCGAACAATTTTTGACCAATTTGAATCCTCCCGTCCTTACAATTTCATGTAGTCCAATAATATTTCGAAACATGTCATATACTTTAACAATACTTCTTAAGTACGCAACAAACATGTATTCTCTATTTATTATTGTTAACCCAACAATGACACTTCTACTAATAGTTATTGAGTGTGAAAACGAGAATCCAAGTCGCACCCTATGATCAAATCGGACCACAAGAACTAGCGTATTCTCACTTGAATCAGATTGGACCAAACTTTGATTTGGTATGGCGAGCTGGCCCAAGTCATACCCCATGTCATGGCTCTTTCTTGACTAAGTATTATTAAGTTTTTTTCAATTTTATAATGTGTATGCTATAAAAATAAGTAACGGTTCTTGTACGGATACCAAGAAAAGTCTATATATGGCTCCATTTCCAATTCCCTATGTGATCGCCTATTGACCGTTGGATGTTTAAATGGCTGCTTTCATAGACCGATTCAAATTATATTGGTCAAATACGTCTTATGATTGGAGAGGTTTCCTATTTAGCCGGCAAAACATTAAACTAGAGAGAGCAGCGATTTCATTGACGGTCTAATTTATTTGATTTATTTTGGAGTAACTTAATTTGCACACATTTCACCGTACTATAGTGGAAAAGTATATTTGGCCTAACATCAGTGTTCGCATATTCTGAAACTCCTAAATAAATACCAATGTGCGTGAATAAATTCCCCTCCCCTCTTTTAAACCTTTTGACAACAGAAAAAAAAAAAAAACACATTTAATCTTCGAGAAAGGTCTTAAGGCTAAAGGTGGTTATCTCTCTTTTCTATTTCTACAACATAAGTTATATTAGACATTCATTATTTAATCAAATCATCACTAATGCTAATGATATGACATTGGAATTTTGGAAGAAGGTTAAGCTATCCCTTATTATTTCCAATAACTCTTCACCTACTTGAAAATTGGATGATGACTCACTTTACAACTGGCAACATGTATTGAGGATGTTATGCTCCACCACCTATGTGCTCTACTCAAGTGACATTGAGACGCGGTATAAAAAACAGGGAGTATGTCTTTGATTTAAAACAATAATTGTTTTTTTCCTGTCAAATAATTTTACATGTTATCATTATATCGTTAGATTGTTAATCAAAACTGTTCGTCAAATACAATTACATAGAATAGGGTTTAGGAGTTGAACCTAAATTCTTTGAAGGAAAAGGTACCTCTCTAAGGTGATAAGGTTAGGTGGTGATGATGATTGTGAGGTCAGTTCCCAATAATTTATGCAGCACTTATAGCTCATAGTGATGGAGGGAAAGCTCCTTGTGTTTTTTTAAAAAAATTTCAATTCCTAACCCACATACAACCTAGCCTTGTGGGGTCCTAATTAGCGTTTGGCAGCTAAAGCTTAATAACAACATTTGTGAATATCCTTTAGCCCACTTGCAAGTTTTGCCATTATATGTGGCTTCAACATTCAAAGGCCAAAGTCAAAGCTTAATAATTTGCTTAAAAATGAAAAAGATGCACTGCTCAACATTTTTAATTTTTTTTTTTTTGTGTGTGGCAGTAGTATTAACTGTTTAATTAATATCTGTCTGGGTATGAATGAACAATCAGGTTAAAAAGAAGATGCACACATGAACTTAGTTAAGTTAGTTATAACGGATGTGCTCCTTACTCTGAACTCAAGTTCGAATTTCATCTGCATAGTTTAGATTAAATTAAGGGAGATTCACTATTATACCAAATATAGGAGCCCAAATTATAAAAAAAACCCTATATGAAATGAACTTTAAAAACACACCCAAAGCCCATTTACAACATAACAAACAAGTTTTTAACTTCTTTTGAATTACAAAACTACCATTGATTTCTTAAAACAAACCCAACCCCAAAATCTCATAAAAAAAAAAGCCCAAAACACTCAATAGAGCATCAAAGTAATTTAATAATTAAAATTAAATTCAATAGGCCAGCTGTCATTTTTTGGGGGTTTTTTTTGTGTGTGTTTATAGAAATTAAATGGTGTACGGTTTATTTATATTATTAGTACTAAGAATAGACACTCTTAAATTAAAGTAAAATATCGCTTAGATTAAAAAGAAGATATATTTAACTTTGAGTGATCAAATCTATTAGATCTACTTTTTGCATATGATCCATTTGAAATCTCACAAAGGGTTAGCTAATCATTGAGGGGTTTCAAAAGGAATAGATTCAACTGTCCTATATACACAATAAGTCACTTAACGTTTGTCAAATACGGATTGAGTGAAGAGGAAAAAAAAGATATTTTAAAACCAATTAACTTGGTACACATCTTTAACTAGGTCTTTGTTGTCACTTAGTGCACTTGAAGGAAAAGATTATTATGAGTTTATTATAAAAACAAAGTTGAGCAAACTGCTACTGTTATCATAATAATATAGGTTGAAATGGCCAAAGAAAGAGATGTGAAGGAGACAATATATTATTTTAAAAAATGACAACTGTGGTGATGGAAGTGACCCAAACTAATTAAGTAGAGCAAGGTTTTATTGTTTATTGTTGCATAGGAAACATAGGCTAAGCTGTAAGTTGTTGAAGAAAAGAAAGCAAGCCTTTTGTTTTATTTTATTTTTTTAAGTATTACCTTTAACTTTTAAGCATGCCCTAAACTTTAGGCAGCAAGCACTTGTTCTGTAACTGTTCCTTCATCAATGGTTTTCATAGGCTTCTTTGTTCATGTCCAATACAAAAGTCAGGGCATATATAT